AACGCTCGTCGACCGGGGTGATGTTCGGAGAGGATCCGGAGACCGAGAATGCTCGGCCTGCCCGACGAGAACGCTCGTCGACCGGGGTGCTGTTCGGAGAGGATCCGGTGACCGAGGACGCTCGGCCTACCCGACGAGAACGCTCGTCGGCCGGGGTGATGTTCGGAGAGGATCCGGTGACCGAGGACGCTCGGCCTGTCCGACGAGAACGCTCGTCGGCCGGGGTGATGTTCGGCGAGGATCCGGAGACCGAGAATGCTCGGCCTGCCCGACGAGAACGCTCGTCGACCGGGGTGCTGTTCGGAGAGGATCCGGAGACCGAGAATGCTCGGCCTGCCCGACGAGAACGCTCGTCGACCGGGGTGCTGTTTGGAGAGGATCCGGTGACCGAGGACGCTCGGCCTACCCGACGAGAACGCTCGTCGGCCGGGGTGATGTTCGGAGAGGATCCGGTGACCGAGGACGCTCGGCTTACGCGACGAGAACGCTCGTCGCCCGGGATGGTTAGGAGGTGAGGAGTGGTCCTTGAGTACGCTCAAGAGACCAGGACGGGACTGGGCTCGAAGTCTCGGCTGCGCCGCTTTATATACCCGTCGGTCAGCCCCCTCCAACTAGCTTGGGGTGGGGCGGTCCGGTCGGGTGGGGCGAAAAGGCAAATTCCCACGTGTTCGATGTGTGGTGGCCCCGACAGGGGCCGTTTATATGAGCGCGAGCGGACGGTCGGCCTCGTGCTTGCGCGGCTTTCAGTGACGACAAAACGGGTCGTCACAATATCAATATAATTGAAAAGTAATTAAGTAATACATATTTATTAGTCTATATATTTACGACATGTTCTACAATAGACTAGAATTAATAGTAGTTCTCTCCTTGTCTCTCTATTGCGAGGACGATATGTAAAGTCCATAAAAATATAAAGTATAAAAAGCAATCAATTACTAAACCTAATAAAAGTCCGTGTTTTACATTCTGTCCATTAGTTTACTCTTCGAATTATTTTATTATTATATTATGTATCATTACAATTTGGAAACATATATGTAATTTTTGATATTATTTGCATATATATAAACATGTGTGCATAAGTATATAAAATTTACAAAAATGGATGCTTATTAGCCTTACTACATTCCCAGTAAACACGTTTTATAACGGCAATATAACATGCGAGTTACATGTAATGTAACATTTGTTATCTTCAGGTAATATAACTGTTATATATCATTTTGGTACTACAGTTATGTAACAAAATTGTGTAATTGTTACGTAATATGCTTGTATCAATGTTATTATAACTTTAGTTATATTCTGATAATATTAATAGAGTGTAACGGAATAACATAACAGTAATGCAACATCTGTTAATTTTACTATTAACGTTTTTTTATCGGTGGATATATATATATATATATATATATATAATCATTGCGTATGATATAATTATGTCGCGCCGCGAGTGCCGTGTTGTGAGTTGTGAATATATTAAAGTGCCTATATATATATATATATATAGCTTGTCAATGCTGTAGCAACAAATAGCACCAATAAGCCTCCGAAACATCAAATTATTGTTATAATTATATTAATTTATTTCAAATAAGAAATTAGTTTAATTATTCCTATAATTTTAATTATTTCAATTATTTCACTTTTTTAAGCTGAAATAATCCGGATTCAAGCTTACCCAAGCATGTATATATTTACGTATACAGCATTGAATAATACGCGCCACGCTCTCCCCATTTTGCCGCCTATGCGTAGACCGAGGGACGTTCTCTCTTTGCGCAGTATAGAGGGCTAGGAACGGCAGACGTGTAACGTGTGTGTGTAACAAGTGAGAGAGTAATTTTTTGTTCTTTCGGCAACGTGTAGGACATCTTAAAGTACAAAGGTATATGTATATAAAGGTGCTGAAGGATGTAAGTGCTAATAAAATATTATTTTATAAGAATCTCGGAGAATTTGCCTCTTATATAAAATTACTCAATCGCTTTTGGTAGTTATAACCTCATAACCTCTATTCGACCACATTTATACAATAATTCGAGTCAAATTAAAAATGCATACTCTTTATTTCTTAGTATATGTTTATTCTCAATAATTTTCTAACTTAAATCGTATATAGTTAAACTCAGCAAATAAATTTAATCTTGGTAACTTTTTCACAGATTCTTCACACTTCTGGAAGAAACAAATTTTTTTATAGATGATTTCACACTATCAGAAAGTAGAAGGCGTTGATGAGATATATACAATAATATATAATAAAAAATAATTCACAATATATATATATATATATATATATATATATAAGCACAATTTATAAAAGCTTGCATTATTAATCAGGTACGTGTGTGATAATTAAGTAAGGAGGCATAAAAACTATTTTGTTTTTAGTTCCACATTCTTAAATAGATTAGCCTTGCTCAAGTTTAACTATCACTCTGCATTATTACCTAATCTTGTATTTTGTAGCTTTTAAATAGCCAAAATTAAAAGTTTAGCCACATTTGCATAAATCATTATAGACAGTGAAACGATAATTATGCTTGGGCATTTGGGTTTCTATTTTTGTTTTTGAATTAATTTTATCTATTACATGCTACTGTAATACATATTGCCATATTCTGAATAGTGCATTGTTGAGTATACAATTACAAATACTTACAATTTCTTTTTAGTTACTAATAATTAATATCAATAAACACTTTCTATTATTGTCATAATAGCAGTGTAAAAGCAAATTATTAAGAAAACTATTGATATTTAAAATTATATTATCATTTTTTATTTCTTATTTCTCTTTATCTTACAGATTTTTCAACTGTAATTGCACTCAGTATCTTCAATATTATACACCTTTGTACTACCTTTTTATCCATCATAAGTTTAAATGAAATTTTTTAATGGATCGTTTTTTCAAAAATGCCAAAAGATATTGCCTCATTATCTAAACGTAGAAAAAACCAATTACTCAATGCACAAATTGCACAGTACTTGACAGATCATAATCAGCCATCTACTTCTCATATAACACCTTTATCTCATAGTTGCCATATCGATCATGTCAGTCTACTCAATTATTCAATTGCCAATAAGATACACAACGACCAGTTATCAGCTTCTTCCATGGATTTTGATATTCCTCTAACTCAAAGCAATGTCTTTATTCACACGGGTGATGTTGTTGATATTGGGACAACACATATAGCGGAATATTTGTCAAATGACTCCAGTAATGAATCCTTCGTTGAAACTAATTGTGACATTCCAAGTACTATCAATATAAGTTTATCAGATAAATTGCGCTGTTGGACTGTACAAAATAACGTGTCACACAGAAGCGTGAATGCATTATTAAAAATTCTTTCTTTGCATGGTCATTCTGATTTACCAATAGATGTTCGAACTCTTATGAAAACACCTCGAAATACGTCGTATAAAATTCAACCAATGAATGATGGCTATTACGTGCATTTCGGAGTAACAGATGGACTGAAACGTTCGATTGCAAAGTACTTTCAAGTTATCCCCTATAAGATAGAAATAAATATAAATTGTGACGGTTTACCTTTGTTCAAAAGTTCGCGAGCTCAATTTTGGCCAATTTTAATATCAATCGAAACTGATTTCTACACTCAGCCTATCGTTGTTGGCATATATTATGGTAACAAGAAACCTGCTGATGCTAATATTTATCTGAAAGAATTTATCATTGACATGACTGAAATTCTTAGAAACGGCCTTGATGTTGATGATCATAAGTGTTGTGTAAGTGTCAAGGCACTTGTTTGCGATGCACCTGCAAAGTCGTTTCTTACTTATACGAAAGGTCACAATGGATACTTTGGATGTTCTAAATGTATTCAAGAAGGAGATGCATTGGGCCATCGCATTACTTTCCCTGAAATAAATAGCGAATTAAGAACTGATTATTCTTTTCAACATCAACAACAGCCTGAACATCATGTGGGTTACACAGATTTATTAAATTTAAATATAGGTATGATTTCTCAAGTTGTTTTAGACTATATGCATCTTGTATGCTTAGGAGTTACCAAACGTCTTCTTCAATTCTGGGTTAAAGGCCCTAAAAATGTTCGACTTACGAACGAACAACTGCAGGCTGCGTCAGAAAATATAGAGTCAATGAAATGCTTCATAACTAAAGAATTTAGCAGAAAACCGAGAAGTTTTAACGATATCGATAGATGGAAGGCCACTGAGTTTCGTCAGTTTCTTCTTTACACTGGTCCTGTGGTTTTGAAATTAGTTTTACGGAAAGATTTGTATAATCATTTCCTTTCATTCAGCTTAGCAATCCGTATTTTAGCTGATCGTAAATTGTGTTTAGTTATGAATGATTATGCTCAATCTTTATTATGTTGGTTTGTTTCGCATTATGGAGAATTGTATGGTTCGGAACACATTACGCATAATGTACATAATCTCGTGCACCTTGCTTCTGATGTAACCCGATTTGGCTGCTTAGATCAATTCAGTGCGTTTAAATTCGAAAACTGTTTGCAGGCAATAAAGAAACAGGTTAAGAATTCGCAAAAACCTTTACATCAAATTGTTAATCGTATAACAGAAGAAAATGCTGTACCTATTCAAACTCAATACCGCAAATCGTATCCAGTTGTACACTATTCGAAGTCTGCAATAAAGATCAAATTTCTCGAATTCGATGGATTTTTCATCTCAACAGAGGATTATGAGAACTGTTGTCAATTGAATGATGATTCGATTTTTATCGTAACAAAAATTTTTAGCAACAATAATGTTCTTTACATAAAAGGAAATCATTATAGCAACACGAGGTCGTTTTTTTCAGTACCGTGCGATTCTCAAAAATTTGGCATCTCTCTGGTTAACGAAAGATTTATATCTGAACGGATTACGTTATTAGCATCACAAATACAAAGAAAGTGTTTAAAATTGCAAAATCCTGAGGAAACCACTTCAAGTGTAGTGATTCCTGTATTGCAATATAATTATTAATTATCTAAAATTCAATCGAATAAAAAAGATTGTTCCTCGTATTTTTTAAATCCTTTCCTGCAATCTCATTTCCTCTTGTTCTATTTGAAATTACTTCATTTTCACTTACGATTGGATAGACATGGCATATGCAGTCGTAACATTCAATAACAATGAAGTTTCCGAAGTACCATCCAATTGGCTTGAAACAAATGACGATGAACCATCATGTTGGTGGCCAACAAATTATAAAAACATTAGTACGCTAATAGCAAAAAAATCTGAACCAGATAAAAAGTCGTGGGATAATTTGCCTGTGACCATCGAAAAATATTGCAGTAAGCATATTTCTTTATTATAGAATAAAGGAACAACTGTGACATTTTTAGTTTCTATTTAAAATAAATATTTTATTTCAGCGTCTCTTGAAAAGGCTCGAAAGGTCGCGGAGGATGCAAATTATATAACTACTGATGATGACCAACTCGGAAAAGGGTACAGAAGAGTCATACCAAATAGACGAATATCGAGCTCCTCATCCGATGATGTCGAAAATAAAATCAATCTAAAACTTCGAAGTGGATAAAAAGCCACGAGACCTGCGTAAGTTATTGTAGCTATTTTATAATCTGATTTAACAAATTTTTTAAAGATTGTGATGCTTCGTCATTTATTTTTTAATACCATTAGGAGAATCTATATAGTATATTTTTTCCTGTTTAAATCTATTTCGTAATTTGTACTTTATACTTACAGTTATTAGATTAAACTTAAAATCCCTATGAATTTCAAATCCTCATATCTCTTGTGCATTCCATCTTGAGCTATTAAGATAAAGCTGTTTAAAAATCCTTGTGCGGAAATCTCAATAATAGATTTACATCATGTCTGTAAACAGGCTTTTTTACTACACATCAACGGATATTGTATATACAACTGACAACAAAACATCAATCGAAAATTAACTTTGAATTTTCAGGTCGAAACATATTATCAGACCTGCCACCGATTCCAAACAGCTTTGGCGAGATATCAAAATCTGCAAATTTTCAAAATTCACACGACGTCGTAGAGGCAAGAGGATCAAAAAAGCTCACAAAGTCACATATCATAAGTAAGAGTCTGAATAGTTGACTTATAATTTTAAGACAATGTTTTATGTTCTGAGAGTTTTTGTCTTTAGTAACGCGCAAGAAAAATCTAGAATACTGTATGCATACAATAAAATTATTACTTTTATTAACACTTCGTACGATTTAGATTTGAGATAAAAGACAGTATTGTACGTTACTAAAGACAAAGGCCCGTATTCATAGTCGGTTCTTATATTTATAAGATCGTCTTAAGACCTCGTTCAACCAATCAAATGGCCGCATAGCATTTCTTGATTGGTTGAACGAGGTCTTAAGATCATCTTAAATATAAGAACGGACTATGAATACGGGCCAAAGACTTAAAATATAAAATACGGTCTTGAAATTATAAATCAGCCGTTCTGATCAGACCCTAATGATATCTTGTGTTGTGCTATAGACGAAGACCAACGTGACATAGACGAGGAAGCAGAAAACGTGGATGACCCATACATGACGATTCCGAGTCCGGTTGCGATGTCAGAAACTCGCAAAAAAGAAAATTTTTCTGAAGTTTCAACGCTTACTAGAAAAGCCTTTGATGGCATGGAAGTGGTGGATCGTAATCAGGAAGGTGAAACTGACTGGACTTATTGGACATTTACAAAGAACATCTGATTACTTTCGATACTAAATATTGTCTGTCATTTATTCTGATGTAGAATATTCAAGAATAATTATTCGGATGCTCGCATCGATTCAAGTACAACTACGGGAGCTTCACCAGAAAGTCGAACACGGAAAACCTATGTTTTCAGGAAATGTTGGCCTCATAGCGTCTCTTCTGCCATTAAAATCGATCGCGGAGATTGAAGTCTTTGAGAAAAAAATCCATGAAAATCCGGAAATAAAACAACAATTTGTAAGTTAATTATTTATCACAAAAAAGGTCAAATTTTATTCAATTTGTTGCAAATATAGTAATATTTCTATTGCAGAATACATTTGTACAGAAAATTGGAGGTCATACAGCGCGTGAGGACACCCAAAGAATTTGCACAAAGATCTTCACAAATTCCTGTGCAGAGTTATGTTCATGGAAAGGACGGAAGGGAAACTTTTGCATTGAAGATCTATATATTATAAAAATAATGCAAGGTAATATAATATCCGAAATTTTAGTACCAAAAAATACCATTTTTACGTTGTTTGAGAATACAGTTACCTTTTTTTATTGTCCGTTTTTTGGCAGAAACATTGAATAATGTTCTTGCTGCAAACAGACAATTCAATAATGTATATAATAATTATATATAATAGTTAGGAATAAGTGTTCTCAATCATCGTTGTCGATATCGAATCGAAAAAATAACTTTTTTATATATAATTGTCTTCATGATTTCTTGCAATACTATTTGAAAAGATTACATATTTTATAGCAATTATTCGTTCCGTGGTAATATTGTGAAGAATTTTAATTTTTGCCAAAAATGTCAAATTGTTGTTGAATTTCTTCAAATTTTTGTTACAGAAAGTGTATAAATATACCTTCACAAAAGTTATATTTTAAATCTAATTTTTAACATTTTTTACTCGGTATAAGAGCAAAATATAAGAGCTGTATGGTATTTAGACTTGCAAATATGATCGGTTTTTATAAAAAACCCAAAAATTTATGCTAATTTATGCTAATCTTATTATCTAAACGTAAATAAAATAGAATGAAACAAAATGCAAAATAATTGATTACTTTTCACTTTATTCAATTGTTTATCATAAAAACTCTACTGTTAGAAGTTAACCCCATCAACCCTAATAAATCTAAATTTACTTTAATTTATTATCTAGTTTTTGTTTCACATTGTGTTTACATTTTTACATCATTAATTATATTAATTTGTTCACAGATGCTATTTTACATACATATCCGGCAACAAAAGAAATTGAATTCGAAGAGATCGTCGCAGAATGGTTCCGGTTTGCTAAACAACGACGAAATCGAACAATAGAAAAAGAGAAGAAAAGAGCAGAAAGAAGAAAGACAACGGATGAGACAAGAGAGAATGAAGCAAACTCTTAACAAGGTTAAAGATAATATAAAGACACTTGCTACTGTCATATACCGTGAAAAATGCCTTTGTGTCTTTTGTCAAAAACTCTTTTTCATATTTTTCTTTTTTTTATTCATATGAACGTTTATTATTATATATAGTATATCTAGGTTATATATATAAAGAAATTCACTATACAACGGAATAAAAAAGTCTGCAATTGCCATCTTTAACGAATGATGCGTGACACTATATACAAATAATAATAATATAGAAACATACATATAATGTAGCGTAATAAAGATGAGGTGGGATGTATTAATTATATATATGTAAAACTGTGATAGCGACATTGCAAGAACCCACGTATTATTTTATCACAGCCATCATCACTCGGTATCTAGTCGATTTTAGTATCTATTAGCATCTAGTCGATAGACAATTTGCAGAAAATGTAAAAGACATATATTAAATAGATTGATAAGATATATAAGATATATATGTGTTCCTAATATCAGAAGTAAGTTGACCCCAGGTCAAGAACTTTATTATTTGTTCAAAGAGAATGAAGAAGTAGGTCGATAATTTGAAATTCTATAATTTTTGAGTTAATCCGGCACGGGGCAGCACGCACTGAACCTACACGCCGCGCTTCAAGCGTTCGATTATCGAATCGATCGGGGATGAACTGCCTCGTCATCGAACCTGGGCATTCGCTCCTGGCACGGCTTTGCGATTAGTCACATGTGGGTTTTCCGTCGCGATTCTAATTGTTCGTAGTTGTTTGATTAATAAAAAAAAATAATCAGATTGATATTCTGCTGTGATTCAGTGATAAGTGAGATGTGAAATACGTTCACTTTGACATTCGCTAATTAACGGTAGCAACAAGGTGCGCCGTTATATACGCGACATAAAATTTGCGCTCAAAACATTGTTAACGAAGCGGAATTCAGTGATTTGGGACCAGAATTCACGCAATGGTGAAATATCAAGGTGCCGAAGTCCGATTGTTTCCACGAACGTAATAATTGTATACATGAGGCTCGCGCGTGTTCGCTTGGCACGCGTAGATCACGTGAGTTGGAGCGCGCAGATCACGTGATCAGTCATCTGGGACTGATACCTGATGTCGTGATTGTGTTTGCGTTCCTTTTTTTTTCATCCCTTCGAGCCCGTGGTGCTCAACGCACTGTAACATTTATGTGATCAGTGATTCTTCATGTTAATTGAAACATTTCGGTTCGCGATTTAATATCGCATTCGCCGCAATCGGCAACGTGTACGAAATCTTAATGTGAGATTTCGAACGATTCGATACACGAGTTTCGAGCGTGTTCATCGTAACTAGCAATTGTTATGCAACAAATAGTTTTTCGGTGGTGTCCATGCAACACATGCTAGATACCATATAGTGAGACATTTCGGACTGCTTAACAACCACGTCGTACGTGTTTTCGCGGTGACTATTTTATTCGTTAATAGATAAAGATTTTATGTAAAGGTTTCAAATTAATTTGCGTTTATGTACATTGTGACTCTCGGACAAATTTAGTTAATAAATGGATTGTTTTTGTGTAATTTGTGCATATAATTCCGTATTCTGGTTCTCGATTCGGCACGTGGCTTAAATCGTTACCCATCCTGCGCACCAATCGGAGCGCGTCCACCCTCCTTAAGATACAGTCCACTTTGAATCTTCCTGTGCAATCTATACACGAGACGGATATCGACGATCGGATTTACAACCCGATTGTCAGGATCCGTAGCTTCGTGCGTGAGCGTTCAACGTCAGCAATCGAGCGTACGCGCAAACATTTTTTGGTCCTTCGAGCCGGATAGGAGAGTAATGACGAATCGAGAACACTGAATTAAGGACACCAGTGATATTTAAGTGCAGCGTGATTCGAGATACAGTCAGTCAAGTAATCGCGTTTAAGTAGACAATCGTGTTAGTGACATATTCATAAACAACTATAGTGTCAAAATGGAAGACGCTCTTGCAAATCAGCAAACTATCTTCCACTCAATTGCTCGAGCTCTCGACAATTTCAAAAAGATTGGTCGTTCTAATTTGACGGCCGCAAGGGTTCGCTCACGGATTGCGACTTTACAAGCTCAATGGACTCAAGGTGTGCACAATCACACCATTCTGCTTCAACTTGTTCCAGAGGATGATCAAGGGTCAATTAATTATTTCAAGAAGAATCAATTCGACCTTCACGAAGATCTCTATCAATCAGCCCTGGATCATATGAACGAATGTCTAGAAGACCTGGTTCCTGTCGTAAGTCGAGATACATCCCTCGAAACTTCTTTTGCGCAAATGGACGCATCGTCATTCTCGTTAAAGCATCTCCCTCCTATTAAATTACCGCCTTTTTCTGGAAAAAACGAGGATTGGGAGACCTTTCGCGACCGTTTTCAGTCGTTGATTATAGATAACAAAGAATTGTCAAATT